TTTTTTTGCCTCCGTGCTTACCACAAGAATTCCACTTAAATCTGTGGAACATTACTGGATTCATCCTTTGGCAGAGATTTTTGGATTACAGAATAACCTCAAAAAAAAAAATTTCAGAACGGTAACAAAACTTTAAAAACCTCCATTTGTTTCAAATAATTAAATATATTTCTTTCGAACGTAAATATCGCTAAATATGTAGATCTTTCATATAAAACAGAAAATTGTCGAAATTACGTGAAAATAATGTATTTAATACCTACACTTGCAACACGATTTTTTAAGTTATAACAATGTTTAAGTTTTGAAACTTAGCAATTGTCTGTCAACCCATGAAATAAAGGTAATGAATTAAAATCTCTGGAAACAAACAACATTTAGCCTTTTTATTTAAGATTTTTTGCTCTTTGCAATATTTTCAGGTGGTAGAGCTAGGTCAAAACACTAAAAAGGCAAAAATCGATGCATTTTTTAAAAATTTTTACATTCATTCCCTTCATTTAGGTATTTTGAATAACTCCTGAAAATTTGAAGTAAACTGCTTGACCCAATATCAACATATCACGTTGATATCTTAATATTGGGTCTGAGAAATAAGATAAATAAAATACAAAAGCATAAAAAATTTAAAATCCACTAGGTAAATAAGCTTTTTTTATTTCAGATTAACTACCACTTCAAGCAAAAATCTTGTAACATTTTTTGGACATTGAGACCATTTTATGTTATTAAGTCCTTCATTACAATTTTGTATCCCTCCATGAATGCATTTTTTAAGAAGAGAATTATCAGATAGGTGATCAAAATCTTTCTTTATAACATCATAAATCCATAGAAGAATATTTACTTTAGGCTTGTATTTATCAATTCCTTCTTCACTATTCTTCCACCTACACTAACTATTTAATCCTCTAGGACATAGTACATGATGCTGCATTTTGTGTAAAAAAGTTAGTACAATGATTTAGAACAGCTCTTATACCTTTTTTTCATTTGGTATACTTTTTCATTATCGTTTAAACTTTTGTTTTTTCTTCGCTCTATTAAACGATTTCCCACACACATTTGTATATGCTGTGATTGTATTGCAGTGATATTACAAAATAGTCCACAGTTTCCTTGATTGGAACTATAACTTTTTCATTACTTAATAATAAAATTGAAGGGTTCAAAAAAATTTAAAAATACTTAATAACAATTATATACCTAAAAAATAATACTTTATTTAGTGATTTTTAATCAATAAATTAAGAGAACGTCAAGGCAGTTGAAGCTTTAACACAATTTTTTGTTAGTACAATCAATTAAGTCAAATTATGGTTAAAAGTGTAGTAGGGTTGTCTGTTAGTATTAATCAAATCATAAATGTTTTCATAGTTAGGCCATCTTTGGTTAATAGATATTTATTCCTAAAGTGTTCCAATTAAGATAACTCTCTCCTATATTTAAACAAGGTTTTGCGGCCGATTGATTTTTAGAAATCAGCTTCAAATAGAAGCTGATCAGCCTGTAATAGAGACTCGTTACAGTGTAATTTTTTTTTTTATACTTAAATCTATATTTACAATTAATTCAAATAAAGCATTATAACTCATACGCTAATATTTATACGGCGCTATTTTAACGAAAAAATCCACTAACGTAAAATTAGAAGCATTTCCTTTGATCTTACTTAAATAAAATTGTAAAGAGAGCAGTTTAGAAGTAATTTCTTTATGGTATCTCTCACTTTTTAAAGTTATAATAAAATCTTTCTCGAGTTATAAATAAAATTAAGATAAGAGTCATGGACCTTTTAAAAGTAAGAAATTCTAACAAAACTTTGAATGTAATAAACTTTAAAATGTTATAAACGTTAAAATATTATAAACGTTAAAATATACAAAGAATTACTTTTTTTTCATTCTTAACTTTGCCTTTTCGTATCGTATTTTTGTTAGAATTTGTTTTATTGAAAATTCATTAAGCATCTCTTTTGCTTTTTCGGTTTGGTTAATTTTATTATAAACATCTTTTTCAGTTGTTAAAAGTTTACCAGCTATTTCCTTTGAAAAAATAACCCTGATTAAGTTAGTATACTTTGTTGGAAAAACAACTTTTTTTGTCATGCACTCTTTTTTATTAAGTTCTTGTAAATCTCCTTTTAATGCATTTTTTTGAAGATGGCTTAATTTGTCGTAAACTTGTTTGGCATTGCGGTTTTTTAAAATATCATTTCCTGAAATCATCATTCGTATGTTAGATTGGCTAAATGAACTTGTAGAATCGATTTTGAAAATTTTTTTTAATTCATCCACTTCAAGCGTAGTCCAAGATATTTTTTTACTTGTCATCAACGAACCTGTAACACCATCCCAATCGCTTTCATTATCATCTTCCTCATTCTCACTAAATAGATCGTTATCTGTAACATTTGATATGGGACTTCCAATTAAAGAATTGTTGGGCATTGCATTTTCAATGGTATAAATGTCTGGTTGGGAGCCAAAAATTACATTTGAAATCTTCTCAGAAGTGCCAGAAACTTCTTTTTTAGTTTGGTTTAAATAATACCATTTCTCTCCAGTACTTTGTTTGTGCTTCATTAAAGTAGCAAGGTCTTTTTTCATATCAGGGTAATTATCATAAAAAAACGTTAATAAACTTTTTCTTATTAAAGTAGCACTAACATTTCCAAGGCTAACACTGTCTGGTAAACATTTTGAAAAATATGAACTTAACTGGGTTGATACACCACCTGATTCCAAACTACATCCTGACCATGTAACAAACATATTTTCTGATTTATGTCCTGTAACACCATTTCTTATAATTTTATAAAAGCAGTCACACAAAAATTTAAGTTCTGAATTAATAACAATTTGGCAGGGTCCATATTTTTTAAAGGTCTTGTGTTTTCTCACCAACACAACATACAAACCTGTTGGAGTAAAAGTTCCTTTTAAATACTCTTCTAATGTCAGATTTGCGATAGCTCCCGACCGAGAGATATTATCACATACCATTTTAAAGAAAATGCAGTCTCTGGTATTTGTGTATAAACTGCGTGTTAAAATAAATTCGTTTGGTTTTAAAGAGTATTGACAGTGTATCTCTTTAATTTTTTTTATAACTGTGACATTGAAGTTGCTATCAAGAATAGCCTTAAAGTATTCTTTTGGGATCATTTTTTCACCGTCTTGAATTAAAACATCAAACTGCCTCTCCTCCTCCTCAGCTCTCAAAGATTGTCTCCATTTAGAAATTTCGTTCTGACAAACAAGCATAACATCAGCCTCTACTTTAGTGACTGGTACAACATAAGGAACATTTGGAGTTAGTTTTGAACGAATTAAGAAATCTATGAAGTGGCTTAAGGATAACAAGTATGACCTTTTTGTTCCAGGTTCATACATCATTCTTTGCGCATGAGGAAACCAAAGTGTTTGTAATCGCTCGAGGTCAAAAAATTTATCATAGCATGGATCATCTGAAGACAAAACCTCCATTATTCTCCTGACTTGACCCATCTCATTGGATGCAGATTTTAAATCTTTATTACCTCCGGATCGACTTTTTAAATAAAGGCAAAAGATTTCAAGATAATCTTTAAAAGTGGGTTCATCATCAATAGATTTGGTACGATTACTAATAGATGGTGATTCCGGGTTTTGAATATTGAATTGATCAAGTGAAACATTTGAATCAAATGACTGCTGAAAATTGTAATTTTGCTGGTGCTTTAAAGGAACTGTAATATGATTTACTTTTTCAAAAACAGTTTTTTTTTGAAGCATTTCTCTATACTTTTCAGGTTCATTTTTAAGATAATGTGGAGACTTGTATAAGTGGTCGTGAATACGCTTCACAACAGCTTTGCACATTGGACAAACATATTTTACAGTTTTTTTAGCTTCTGAACTTGCAACAGCTGATTTTCTTAATCCATAAACTCCTCTAGCTATACGAGCATCTTCTTTACTTACTTTATGCTTCGATGATCGTAAATGTCTAGGGAAGTCAACAACACATTTGTAACATATTGGGCACTTGACTTTTTCGCGAGGATAAACTTCTTGCTTTTTTAACTTAACTTGTTTCTTTGAAGATACCCATTTTTTGAACATCTATAGCAAAGACAAAATAATAATTAAAAGATAATAAACAAAATAAATGATATTAAAAAAATAGATATGGAAAACTCTTTTTTTATGGCAAATATTGTTTTTTTTTTTTTTTGCAAAAAAACGCCAATTTTTCGCCAAAGTTTACCGAATTGATGGGGGAACCGCCGCCCAAATTTTTTTCCTGTAATAGGCCCTGACTATAGTCAAGAAAGCTCTAACTTTTTATTAATTTTTTAATTGTTGTTAAAACCCCCTTTAAAGACTGTAACTCAGAAACACAAGCCTTGACAAACATAGCTGACAGCAGAAAAACAAAACTGATGCCCCAACACAACACCACATTTTGTTTTTCAATTTTATTAGTAACAGACCGGATGTATATTTTTTAAGAGGTAAATTGTAAAATATTGAAGGAAGTTAAAACAAATTTTTTCGTGTAGAACTTAATATATATATATATATATATAATATATATATATATATTAAGTTAATATATATATATATATATATATATATATATATATATATATATATATATATACAAATTGTAAAATTATATAAAAGATTTTACAATGTATATACATATAAATGAAAATATTTGAGTAAATACATGCCTTCTCTGCTTCCAAAACCTTTCCAGATTTCATAAATACAGTTATCATACTCTCAAAATTATTTTCATTGCATTCTTTGAAAGAAAGGACTTTTTTACTGGTTATTTTTTTTCTCTGAAAAAATGAATGAAAAACATAATTTTAATATTTAAAACTACTTTCCTACCTTTAATAAAAAACTAAAAACTTTAATATAAAACTATCTTTATTAAAAACTTTGTTGTACTTTTTTTTCTAATACTCAAGTTACCTTTTGAAGTACTTCATCAACTGTTTTAGTTTTTGATTTTTTCTCTTTCTCATCAATAATTAAACCTTGATCATGAGCCTAAAAATATTTTTTTAAATGTAATTAGCCGTTCATTAATTTTTATTTACTTTAAATCATTAATATTAACTTTAAAACATTAATAGTAAGAATTTTATAATAACCATTTAAATATTTTCGCAAGCCTCAAAAGGTAGTTTACCACAAAAATTATTCTCCTGATATGAAGAAACCTAAAAAAAAAAATAAAATTTTAGCAATGTTAAAAACACAACATTTTTTAAAATTAGAATACAAACATTTAAAACTCAACATTTGAAAATAATGAAGTGAAAATCTTTAAAATGACTTAATTGTACCTTTATTACTAATTCATCAAGGAGACGCTTTACTGCACTTTCCTAAAAATAACATGTGTAACTATAAAAATTCAATAAACATATCTCACATTGAAAAATTTATCACACACACACACACACACATACAAATATATATATATATATATATATATATATATATATATATATATATATATATATATATATATATATATATATATATATATATATATATATATATATATATATATATATATATATATATATATATATATATATATATATAAAATATTATTATTATAAATATGGGCATCAAAAATACAACTGTTACATACCATATCAGTGGTATCTATGCATTCAAATTTAGATTCAGAACTACTTTCAACTAATTTAAAATCAATATCACTTAAAGATACCTGAAAATCAATGTTAAATAATTCATCTATATTTATTTATATTTACACATATATAACAAATACAATAAATAGATTTTTAATTAGTATAATTTCTTTATAAAACAACTAAATTTCATTATAGTTGTTTAATGATATTTAAAAAATTTAAGATGCAATAAAAACTACTAGTAATTAATCATTAAGTACCTCACTCTCAGACAGAACAATGCAAGTTTCTAAAAATTTAGGGTTAAAACTTTCAAAACTTAGATTTAAATTCTATATTAATAAAAATATAATACTTCTAATATATTAATATTCAACAAAGATTCCCTTTAACTAAATTTTGAACGCCTGACAGAAACAAAATTAAAAAAAAAAAAATTTAGAAAAAATTAAAATAATAAAAAAAACCTGTGAAATCCTTTACATTAACCAATGAGCATTCTGAATCACTTGATTCATCTTGCAAAACCTCTGTATTTCTAAAAACATTAAAACATTTTGACTGTTTCTTAAAAATCTTAAAACTATATAGGCATTTTAATATGCACTATTATATTATATTATTTATACACTACTAACTACAAATAGAAACATATTGTTTTTTTTTTTTGTTAATTATACACACCGCTTTGAAATATATGCATTTAAAGTCACTTCTGCCTGAAAATAAAAAATAATACACAAACAACAATAAAAAAAATACATAAATTATATATATATATATATTTTTTTCAGTACTTGAATTCTAGAAACTAGCATAAACTTTGCAAAAAGATATATGATGGCCTCAGGGACAAGCACCCTAAAGACATAATCTGCATTCTAAAAATAAAAAGAAATTTTTTATAAATAAATTTTTCTAAAAAAAAAAAAAAACCTCATACAGTTATAAATTTTAAAACAATGATTCTGAAACATATGAAAAAAATAAATAATAGTTGAGAAAAAATCAAAAAACTAACAAAAGGCTATGGTATAAAATGTATGTAACTGATAAAATGCATTATGATCAATTAGTAATTTTGTATTTTGATCATTAAAACTATTTATGATCACAACTAAATCACAATTAAATCAAAAAAAATGTATTTTTAGAAAAGTTGTTCAGTATCTTAACTTTAGCTCTCTGAACGAAGTTACCAAACTCGTAAAAAGTACATTGCTTTGATCTTCCGTTAAAAGTGATCTTAAATCCATATCACGAAGGTGTCCTTAAAATAGTCATATAATTTTTTTATGAAATTATATGAATAATAGTTAATAATAAAACTACAAAAAATAAAAATAAATAATAAAGTAAATGTCAGCAATATTTTAAAAAAATATTTAAAAAAATAAAATTTAGATTGATACTTTCTTTTTAACTGGCTAAAAAATTTAAAAACAAATTTAAAAAATTTAACTTTTTTCGCTACCTCCAGCTTTATAAATATTATGTCTGTAGCTGTATAACTGAAAAAAATGTTTAAATACAAATGATACAAATTTTTATTTGAAGATTACACCATTCCTTATACAAAATATGTTTATTTTTTTACATACAAATGATTTTTTTTTTACTAATTTTAATTATTAATCTAACTAAATATCATAAAGATGAGTTATATGTGAATAAGGTGGTAATTTTATAAGCTTTATTGTCTAACCCTTCCCCACCTACTTTCATTAATAATATTTATATAAAGATATTAATAATACTAACTTGACCAGAAAAAATTGATTTTAATAGTTGCGATGAAGCAATTTCTTTTAAACTTTCAGAACTAAACTTTCTAAAGACTAAAGTAACTGACAGTTTAAATAAAATTTCATTTTAAACTATTAAAATTAGACATACAAAAATTAAATTTAGCTAATAGTCTGTTATATTTACCTGACACAACCATATCATCAATTTCATTAGGATTGATAGGAACATCTTTAAAAGAAAATAGTTTTATTTACAATTATAAAAAAAATTCTTTTTTTGCAATTAATAGTACACAATATCATAGTTTTTATACTTTATTTATAATAATACAATTATGAAAGCTATATTTATAGCTTTAATACTTGCGCATGCTTTACAGATAATATTTTCATCTCCTATAGTGCCTCCATGACATTTACTATCAATCACTTTTTTGCACAGTACAAGAAGCACCAGAAATAGATGCATCACAGCTACACAGGGCGCACAAAACCATTTCTAATGTAAAAATAAATTTGAATATTTCAAATTTATTTAAAAAATATATATATATATATAAATAATATTAATATTATATATATATATATATATATATATATATATATATATATATATATATATATATATATATATATATATATATATATAATGTAAAATATATTGATGTCAAGTAGATATACTTTATAATATATATATATATATATATATATATATGCATATATAAAATATATATATATATATATATATATATATATATATATATATATATATATATATATATATATATATATATACATACATATATATATGCATATATATATACAATATATTTATGTCAAGTAGATATACTTTGTAATAAGTTAATTAGTTCAATTTGTATTACTATTAATTTATGTTATCGATTAAATCAAATTATTAAATTAAATTATTATCGAGTAAATTCCTATTTGTTTCATTAAGTTTATCCAAATTAAGCTATGTTGCAATGAAGTTCATACAACATATAATTGTAAAGTTCATGCAACATATAAATATAAAATTGACTGTAACATAAATTGTACTAATTAATTTATTAGAAAATATATCTACTTGACATCATATGACAACTATGATCACATTAAATACTTGTAAACTATGTATAATAAAATATTTAAAAAAATATAAGGTTCATCTTGTAAGATTAAGCTTAAAGCACCTTAACATAACATAATTCCGCTAGCTGCAATGGAGGATTAAAGTTTATTTTTCGCGGAGGTGACAATACCGAATGTAAACATTTTAAAAAAATTGCGTGATGACTTACCGAATCGGTAAGTTGCATTTCAGAACTTTTTCGTTACAAAACCGAAAAAGGTTGCCTTAACGAACGATTTTCGTGGCGTTACCATAGATAAACATGGTCATCATCATCATCATCATCATCAAGCATACAGTTATGATGATGATTAAGATAATTATGATGATGATGATGACAATGATCATCATCATCTTAATCATTGGCATCATTATCATTTTCTCTGATACATGCTATACTCTCTCTATGATCATTGCTTCTTTTCCTATCTTTTAAAGACACCATATATCCATCTAATCTACTTTATTCTTTCCGGATGAAAGAACAAACAAGCCAGCAACCTGGATATTCTAGAAAAGTCTGGCCATCATGTAATAAATTGATTATTTGAAATTTTTAAACAAAGTTAATAATTTGAAGAAATATTTAAAAATTGCTAACAATCAGAGTGTTTAAAATATCCTAAAATAAATTTCATAATAGAAATTTATTGTAAAATTGCATTTACATTTAAAATGTAAGTAAATTTTTTATTGTAATTTTAATCATTAGAATTACATAGTTGAGCTATTCAAATATTTCAATGTAAAGAAATTGATAAATACTAGAAAATAGTTCAGAATCAGAATCAGAGGAAAAAACTTAATTATAAAGTGTCATTTTTGATTTGTCATTGTAAATATTTATAAATTATGTATATATTATTTTTGTAACTTTTTCTCATATTTTCTTAACCTTTCATAACAAATTTTAACTTTAACAAAATTTGAAAAAATCCAAACCCGGCTAGTAATCCCTGCAAATTGTGTTTGTTTAGCTGGGGCCGGGTTTGCAAAAACTGCTGTTTTTAGCCGGGGCCGGGGACCCGGTCACTTTCTAATGACAAAAGAAAAAAAATTCTATTTAAAAGTTAAAATTATGTTTTAAGTATTTCCAAATATTTCTTGAATTAAACTGGAGTTATACAAAAAATTTGAAAATTTTTTGAAACTTAGAAACTGAAATTTTATTTGACTTGAATAAAGACAGAACAAAGTGGAACAAGCAGAAACCTAAACAAAATAAAATAAACTGAAAAGCTCAGAGAATAAAGAAACAAATTGAAAAAAATTTGAAGTTACTACAGACAAATAAAATAACAAGTGCAGATAGAGAATAATTGAGCTTTAAGTGCAGTTATTTACTGCCTGTTTATATCTATCCATCAATCTATATATATATATATATATATATATATATATATATATATATATATATATATATATATATATATATATATATATATATATATATATATATATATATATATATATATATATATATATATATATATATATATTTATATATATATATATATATATATATATTTATATATATATATATATATATATATATATATATATATATATATATATATATATATATATATGTATATGTATATATATATATATATATATATATATATATATACATATATATATATATATATATATATATATATATATATATATATATATATATAATATATATATATATATATATATATATATATATATATATATATATATATAGTAAAAAAGAAAGAAAGAGAGAGATAAATCTTAATAATTTAAAAGCAACATTTGTTAATCTAAGTGTTTAGTTTAAATATTTTTACAAAAGATTTCCTACATATAAAATCACTAAGTAGTAACCATCAATAAATTTACTTGCTTTACCTACAACATCATTCAGATGATGTTCAGTTTTTGATGTTCCATGTTTCAAACAGAACTATTTAATTATTTTGCACTTTGTTCTTTGTATTATTTTTCTTTATAATTAAATAAATTTGAGTTTATTTATGTGCATAAATTTGCACATATTAAGTATACTTTAAGAGTATGCACCCTATATGTAAACATTATTGAATGTTTTTAAAAATATTTTTTTTTATTTATTTAACTTTAAAATTTTGTTCTTTAAAATTTCATTTTTTTAAAATATAACATTTGAAATAAAATTTTGATATCTTTGGTGTTGCATGGAATCTTAAGAATTGCGTTCAATCAAGCTTGCTATAAATCTTTTTAAAATCAATCTTTTATTCTACCTTTGCAACTCATACATCAATTACTTATTTAGCAGTTAAATATTCTATTCATTCATTATTTAACAATTGTTAATCCGCTTAATAATTATCTAATTATTTTTTATCTACCCATTTATTATTTATTATCATTACCACCTCATGGCACCAATAAATATATATTTTTTAAAGTTTTAATCTTTTCAAAGGTTGTTTTTTTTTAAAGTTAAAAAATGCAGTTAAATCTGTAGAATAGAAGGTCGAAGTTGGTACAGTACACATCGAGGTAGATTATGGATTGCAGCAACAGCAAAAGAACCAGAAAAAGAACTTATTCAACAAATTGAAAATCAATATAGATTGCTTAATGCAGGTAATAGTTAAGATGGTTTTAAAACTGTTTTTTTCTCTTTCGCTTTATATTGCTGCTTTATTGGGTCATATTTTTATGTGTAATAAAATAATCTTTGAGTTAAAATAATATTTAATTTAAAATTATTTAAAATTGTAAAATTATAAAACATTATTCAATAATGTTGAGTTAATAATTAAGTAGAGACTACTTTTTTGTCATCAATTTTAAATGTCATCAAATTTGCCACTCAAAGTGTTATCATTTTACCATAGATAAAATTTTATCTATGGTAAAATGAATTTAAATTGGTTTAAATTGCTTTTAATGTTACTTTAATTCTCGTAAAGACTCAGAGATTGAGTTTTTGTTATGCTAATCAAATGAATCATTTTCACAAGCTTTTACATTTTATTTATGTATAAATTTGTTTATTATTAACTAAGCTGATATTTTTTTTTTTTTTAAAAAAGTAGTTTTAAGTAGTATTTTAATATTTTTATAATAAAAATAGTGTTTAGCTAATTTTTAAAAGTGAACTAAATATTTTTCTAAATCAAAAGCAACTCAAAATGTTTTTTTGTAAATAACCCTAATATAAAAAATAAATAATCGCAAATCATTTTGAAAAGGAAGGATTTCCTGAAGTGCAATATATAACCTAAAAAAAGATTTGAAACTGTTCGATCTTTTTCTGATAGAAACCCTGGTTGTCCAACATCCTGGAGAAAAGAAAGATGAATTAATGAGTCTAGTTAACAATCGAAAAAGGTTCAGTCAGCAAAAAATAGGTTTTAAATTTGGTGAAAATTAATTGACAATTGGTTGTTAGTTAAAAAAATGAATATTAAATATAGACGACGTGAAAAAGACTCCAAAATACACTATAGAACAACAATCAAAGGCAAAGAAAAGCAGGAAACTAGTTAACCAACTCTATAACACAAGATTACTTCTGGTCATCAATGACAAAAAAAGCTTTTGTTTTTCAGAGGACAAGATGCCTGGAAATTCTGGATACTACACAAACAACAAAAAAACATGCCCAGAAAGTGTTCCTTTTATAGGAAAAGATAAATTTCCACAAGAATTATTAATGTGGATAGCCATATTTGGTTGTGGTATGTCCAAGCCATTGTTTTGCACTTCCAAGGCTGAGCAATTAATTCATTGATATTATATAGATGAATGTTTAGAAAAACAACTTCCTCCATTCATTCACAAGTATTATGGAGACTTTAACTATTTATTTTGGCTAGATTTAGCTAGTTTTCATTATTCTAAAGATTCTCTAAATTAGTTGAACCAATTTATCTATTACGTCAATAAAGAATCCAATCCCCCATATGTGTCCCAAGCATGACCAAATGAAAACAAGTGATTTTCATCTAATATAATGCTAACATATTTTATCTTATTTACAGTACTTACTTTTTGATCGCTTTTTAAGGAAATTTTATTTGATCGTAGCCATTGGACCAAACATACAAGGTCATGAATAAGACTTTTTTGAGTTTTTTAAGAGTTTTCACTTATAATAAAAAGTTTGTCTGCAAAATGTTAGGTTTTAAAAAGTTTTACACTTATGTTCAAATCATTTTTATTACTAAGGAAATAAAGAGGACCCAAGATTGAAGCTTGTGGAACACCAATGGATTTAAACTAATGAATGTAAACTTGGTATTGGATGAATGCTTAAAAACTAAAAACATAATAAAGGTATGACTTAAACCATTTAAGAGCAATTCCTATGACACTGTAATGATATCAAACTCCTTCTGCAAATACTCCAGTTGCAAACAATTTTTTGTCAAGTGCTTCATGCATTGTCTCATTTATGTCAATAAGCGCTTAATTTGTACAGTACTTTTTGCAAATTCCAAATTGAAGGCTATAGGTTGATACTTACAATCATCCAGTTTACATCCACTTTTGAAAATCACATCTTTAACAACTTTGAATCAGGAAAATCTCCAGACTAGAATGATTAGTTAAAATACTTAAATGGTAACTTAATTATTTTGATGCTAGTATAAATATTTGTGAAGGGATGCTATTTGACCCAGTGTTTTTTCCAGGGTTCAAACAGTAAAATATTTGTGATACCGTAGAGTTTTTGTTTATTATATTTTTTGTGAAAGTGGAACCTTTTGAAAGTTTTAGTTATATTTTTTTTTTTTTTAATTTTATTTTGTTACACTTCATTAAATCTTTAATAAATAATTTTTTTAATTGTTACTTTAATAGACAAAGTGGTTGATTTTCCAAAAGAATATCCTATTGGATGTCTTCTTGGATGTGTTAATGTGGTAGATTGCATGTCAAATAAAGATTATTTTAACTCTGTAAGTTTTTTATTTTTTTTTTAGTTAAGTAATAAACATGGCAACTTAAACTTGCATAGTTAAACTTAGCTTTTTAATATTTTTTTATTTAAATAACTTTGAAATTTTTAAAGTATTAAACCAGTATTGGTCTTGCCCTGCTTTATTGCAATTAAAAATTTTCTTTGTTATTCTTTGTTATATAATTTCTTTTCACATCTTTTCTTATAAATTTATCCCATCTTTCCATATAATCTAAAAGCCACAGGCTCACTTAAGTACCTGTAACTCATAGATTTTAGTTGGCCTTAGTTTTTAGATTAAACTATAGTTTTTTGATAGAATACTGTTAAAAATAACCAAATTAGCTAATTAATTTTATGAAAAATATACTAAAAACACTAGAATATTTTATTTAAAAATGTTATAACTTTTTGACATTTAAGTCCATATATACTTGAAGTTGTCATTTTAGCAAAACAAAATTTTTTGTAAAGATTTTTTTTTTTTTAGTAAAGATTTTTTTGTAAAGATTTTGTAATTTTTTTAATTGTAAACTTTGTAAACTTCTGCAAAAAAATCAAAATTAAAGCTATATATATATATATATATATATATATATATATATATATATATATATATATATATATATATATATATATATATATATATATATATATATATATATATATATATATATATAAAAAACAATTTTTTTTGAAAATGAATGCTGGCACAACCTGAATATGCTGTATATAACAAAAAAATGCTGAACTTAAAAATTTTTTTAGTAAAATCTATTTTAAAGGGTTGCTACTGATCTTCGAACATTAAATAGGTCCCTAATATTATAAAAAAAAAAGTTTTTCAAAAGTATGTCATGTTGGGTCTCAAATGAAGCGAAATTATATAAAAATTTCAAAAATGTTAATCATTTTATAATTAATTTTTTATCTTAGATTTTAGTGAACAGAAAATTACATTTTTTAACTAAAAACAATTAATCGAGAAATTAACAAGATTTTTTTATTATAAATTTTTTTTATCAATGTTTTTTTTATAAAATGAATATTATTTTTGAAATTTTTATATAATTTTACCTTGTTTGAGACCTAACATGACCTACTTTTGAAAAAAAAAATTTTTAATGTTAGGTACCTATTTAATGTTTGAAGGTCGGTAGCAACCCCATAAAATTATTTTTATTCAAAAATTACATTTTATTAAATTATATATAAATTATATTATAAAATTCAGCAGGGGTTTATAGGCAGGGCTAAAAAAAAATTTATAATACTTAATATATTATAATTTTATGCTTACATTTACTATTTATTAAATGCTGGCATACATTTATATATTTTTAAACTCTAATTTACTTCCAACAAGATTGCAAGCAACCACTATTAAATTATGAGTTACTTTAAAATAGTGAATAAGTTAAAATACTTGGAAACGTATAAGTGAAGACTTAAAAAATTGTAAGTTGTACAGGGTGACCACAAAGTATCCGCACAGATAAAGAGCTTAATAAAAAGCATGTAGAAAGTATTTGGAACACAATTTTTATTTTAAAACATTTATTGAATTATAACAATTATGATTCAAAAATTGAATTCGAATTTTCCTCCATCAGCAAAATAACAGGCCTGTAGGTGTTTCGGGAATGCTTTGACGGTGGCAAGCAAGTAGGCAGGGTCCAGAGAATCCCAAGCTTTCAGTAGTGATTTTTTCAAACTTTCAATATTTTTATGCGGCTTTTGGCATGCCTTTGCTTCTAGGACGCTCCAGACTGAGAAATCCATCGGGTTAAGATCGGGGCTCGATGGCGGCCATTGAACCAATTGAACATAGTTGTAAAGTATTTAACATTGAACATTGAAACCAATTGAACATAGTTTACAAAGTATATAAAGTAAAGTATATAAAGTTTATGACATAATATTAACTAAAAACAACAAATAAATAAGAAAATACATAAGTGCTTTTATGCTTATATTTTCACAAGATGAAACCATCTCGTGTGCGGATACTTTGTGGTCACCCTGTATATAAAAGGAAAACATGATGATGGGTAAGATAAGGTTTTTTTGATGTTCAAGGAAAAAACTGGAATAAAAGTTTTTATAGTATGAAAGTTTTTAGAGCATGAAGGGACAGGTATAGTAAAAAGGATGCAACTTCTTGAATAAAAGCAAGACTGAGTTTTGTTTTATCATTATAGTGATGATAGCTCGTTTGAGCATTGACCATGATTGTATTTGTAGAAAAAAGAAAGAAATGCAACCTTATAACAATGGTAGATGTCTAAAGTTTGACAGATAAAGCAGATCTAATTACATTTACAATGTGCTTTTAGACTTTTTTTTTTAGATTTTAAGTACAGAATTTAAATCCATAAGCCACTGCAAGCCTTTAGCTAATCCAGAAGAGTGATCATATTTAAAAGTAGTTTCTTGTTCTAAGCAATTAAAAAGTGAAGATTTTTTGTCAAGACAAGAGTATAAAGTTGAGTCGACAGCAAATAGTGCCATTTTAGATTCATGACATTCGTTATTGAGGATAAGAAACACTACAGGATCAAAGATAGAACCTTGCAGTACCCAGAAAGTTAATTAAAACAAAGAAGATAGTAGGCCTTCAAGAATAAAATTACTACTGCAGTTAGAAAGAAATAATTTAATAACCTAAAAACCTTTATATAAAGTAATTAGTAACAGTGAAGACTAATCATAGTTTTAAAAAATTGGAATCTTTTAAAAATTAGAATTTTTAAAAGTTTAGCAAAAATTAAGAGAATTCTTACTATATTTTTAAGACTATGATGGAAATCTATTCAAGAGCACAAACTTTAGAAGTATTTAATTGAGAATTAATTTTAGCATTGGAAGCCAAAGTGATTTCGATATTTAACTATGGGTTAATCTGTTTAACTGTCAGAAAGGGTATGGCCATTTCAAGAGTCAAAACAGAATAAGATTTCTTTGCAAACAACTCTGCTTTATTCTGTTAAGAAGAAAAACGATCAAACCCATGAATTAAAGATTAAATTTAAGACTTACTTTAGTTAGTAACTCTGTTGAAGACTAACCAAAAGTCTCTAGAACCTAACATATGAGATAAGATACAAGATTTAGTAAAATGTGAATAACAGAGCTTAACATTAGACAGGGCTTTTTTACAATGGCTTCTTGCATTAAAAGAAATTTGTTCTTAAAAGAGATGTTCTTGTAAAAAAGATGTTAAAAATAATTAATGTTTAATAAAGCAACTGCTCAAGATGGTGAAAAATATGGAGTAGAATAAAGCTTGATTTAAAATTGAAGAGAAGTAATAAAAACTTCCAAACTTTTATTCAAGGAATAAAAATCTCCAAGATGCACTTTATGCATACATATTATGGATATAAACATATATGTTTGCTTTTTATTTAGATGCTGGCATACAATATCCTTTCATATTTATATAAACTTTAGTATTTATATGGTGTAGTATTTGGATGTGTGGTGTGACTCAGGCAAGAAAAGAAAAGGAGACGTAATCTTGGACAGATTAGAAAAAATGTTGTATCGAACAACGTTTGTTAGAAAAGAATAAAGTAATTTAGGTATCAGAATGTAGAGATTCAATAGAAAATGATAGAAGTAAGAAAACTTCAGAATTGAGCTGCTTCAATAAAAAATGGTAGTGGTAGAAGTAAGAAACTTGAAGAGAGTCCCTTACATATTGTATGAATGTTAAGAAGAAAATAGCCTCAGCCTTGGCTATATTTTATCAAACCCGACCCCAGCCCCAGTCAAATATTAATCCCAGTCGTTTACTACCTTAAAACTATTGACTCTTAAATAAGTTGATCAAATAATTGACTAAACATATAGGAATTATGTCCATACCACATATAAGTAATATGAACATAATAACTGAAAACTTTCTTGGTGTATCCTTCTAACTGCAAGTATCTTCATCACTTTCATGCTGAATAATCTTACGTTTGAAAAAATTGTTTGCTACTGCAGCAGCTAAAACATTATTTAGTTCTTTCCATCCACTTTACTAGATAATTTTAGGCAGACTGACCTTTTTACATTGTGGCAAGAAGAGCATTGCTGTAGTTTTATGGCATGACACACACCTTCTCCACAGTTGCATTAATTTTTATACTATAAAAATGTTTCTCTTTGTTTTTCTTTGTTCCATTTTCTTTTTACTTTATTTTTTAGTTCTTGATTTTTATTAACTTGAGTTTCACGAACTCCAACACATTTTTTCCTTTCATTGATCAATGAAACTGTGTAACACCGTAGTAACTTTAGAAATTTTTGGCTAAACCTTTTGCACTGTCAGTCGGCCAGGAATTTGTTCAAGTTGAATGCTCACTCAGCTCTTGAATAAGCTCTTGTGAACGCTCAAATTTTTCTTTTCAATACTCAGCTAAATTTTTTCTTTTACCAGTAGATTTAATAGTGTATCTTTCAGGGGTTATTGTATTGAGTGAAACACTTTTAGAAGTATCAATATATAAAGCATCTTCTTCTGTTGCATGTTATTGATGTTTAGTGATGTAAAAGTTACTCCCACATGTCTTGCAGCTTTGATTATAGATTTTTTTTTCATCCTTTCAAATTCTATTTTAAATGTTTATGAATAAAAAAATGATCTGGCATAAGATGCCTGAAACTAGAGATTGTATGGTGATGCATTCACGGTTCTTACTTATCATTTTACAGCATGTTTTACCTTTTGCAGCAGAAACAAGACCAGCAGGAGTACCATCAACACCTAAATTGATGAACTGTGGTGTTTTGTCGTGATTAAATGTTTTCCTTATTTTAATTTTTCTAGATCAAACTCCTTTCTCCTTTTGTTCTGTTTCAGACATAATGCTAGCTTTAATCAATTCTTCTGCAAAAGCGTCTAAAGGCAACCATAAAAAAACAATAATTAACTTAGTCTTGCTTAAACTAATTTTAATGAATGTAAATAAATGTAAATACAGTAACAATAATTACTGTAATTTACATTTATTAAAAGTACATAAACTAATAATAAAATTTAACTCTGTGTTAGATTTTAAATGAAACATATGTATATTATAAAATTTAATCAAAAGCACAATATTTACTCATACCAAGGTGGACACAAGCCATTTCTCTTGTGCAATTGAGAGCTTTATTTATTGATACATTTTCTTTTCGCTTGAGTGCTAGGATTATTTGCTTTAAAGCGCATCCAGAAAGATTTACCTAATCTACGTTTGAATCAAAAAAGTTATAAAAAATAAAGCAAAAAATTGTTTCTAACAAAGCTAAAACTCCTGTAACTACAGACAATTTTTTCTTACCATATTGTCTTTTACTACATTTTAAAAATATATGTAAGAAACAAAAATACTTGTTTTTTGTCAAAGCATTTTTTGCATTTGCTGATAATGCTGTATATTTTCTCCCATCTTTCAACCTTTTATTTGTATATTATCTTACTTTCAGAACATCAAGGGCAGGTTTTGTTACTTCTGCTTTATTTATGCCTTGCATTGCCCGATTTTATTCCTAATGTATAAAACAATTAACATCTCTTCTTTCTCTAAGAGAATTGTACAGTACTGTCTTTCAAGACCATTGGTTATTTTTCGATCAAATCTACGGTTTATTGTTTCACGATCTTCATTTAGTGGGAATTGTCTTGTTTTAATTGCAGCATGTCCTTTTACATTATTTTCTTCATACCGTCGAACAGCAAATTCAAGTTGTTTGTTTTCTAAAGTTGCTTTACTCTTTATAAGTTCTTCAGCATTAGAACTTGAATTTAGTGACTTCATTCGTATTTTGAGTTTTTTGTTGATGTTACTCATACTTATTTATTTGCCTAAAAATAAAATATTATCAAAAACTCACCAAACTGAACTAAACCTATCCTCTATGCAAGAGTGTAAAGTAAAATCTCTTTATAAATTTTTATCATCAAAAAGCTTGTTACAACTACTTCAAACCTACTCAAATTCTAGACTTTTTAAAATATCACTTAGATTTTTTTTTAAACCAAAATAATTCATTTTGTTTTTGGGGTCCCAATCATGTAGTTTTTGTAGCGCCTTAGGTACTTCTCTAAAATATTAGTTCGCAATCAAAGTACTATATGAAGTGAAATTTAATATGACAAGCTTATCAAAATATGAGGGAGTTACTACTAATTTTAAAAAAGTTATAAACAAGCCATCTGGTTTTTGAGATCCCTTACTAAAATATAAAAAAAACTTAAAATAGTAAAAAAAGTAAAATAAAAATTCCAAAATACTTCTAAACCCCTGGAAAGAACTTTTACCATATAAAAGCGTATAAAAAAAAGCCAAAAAACGTTAAGTCATTTGTTTGTACTAAAAGAACAAAGCATTTGGGGCCCGTGTACCTGTAAGTTCAAATTATGATTGAGTTTTATAGAAACTTGAGTTTTTTAGGTAGTATTAATAAAAATGATTTGTAACAAAAAATAACAAAAGATTTGTAGCATATATATATATATATAATATATATATATATATATATATATATATATATATATATATATATATATATATATATATATATATATGTAATTTTCATGTTCAGCATCCAGCTTGCGAAGAAGATTCATCATCAGAATATTTATTTGTATGTGAAAACCCGCAACCTTTAAAAGTCATGTTTTCCATGAAAGGACAACATAAAATTTGTAAAAATATTTTTATTTAGACAATTCATTTTTATTTATTAATCTTTTTTGTCGGTTTTTTTTAATCATGTATTTTATAATTTTGTTTGCATTTTTTTAGATAAGTTAGATGCACAGGTGCATGCTTCTGCAAGAAAAAATTTACTCTTCAGTTGAAAATATAAATTAGTTGATATATATGGTAGACAAATAAATGCATAAAAATATTGTATTTACTTTTGTCAATAAGAAAAGAGCTAATAACTTAAATATAACTTTTATAGTTTTTTAAATTATAGTTTGGAAAAATACTTTGATGCATATTTTTAGAAATATTTCTTAAATATATTTTTATTCTAAAATAAAAAAAAAACTAATAATTTAAAATAAAAGTAATAAATTTTTTTAATGTCTTTTTATTGTGATTGTAATAAAAAATTAGACTTTTAAAAAATTTCTGGTTTACTGTATTTATAATACATAAATCAATTATAAGAGATATCTATATCAAGTGTTATAGATATCTTATTGTAAAATCTAACTTTTTTATGTAGGTTGGGTAGATTTGGGTATTACGAGCACCTAGTTAATATAAGCATACTAAAAGATGTAAATAGTAAGATTCAAGTTACTTTGTACTTTTTTAACCGACTTTATGTAGTGATAACAGGAAGCAGTATAATTAGCGTAAATTTATACGTAGTAATTATCAGCTCTCGTATTAAAAGCTATTTAATTTTTTGTGTTGTTAAAATTACACATGAAAGAATCTGTGGCGCGAAATTTTGATGTTGAAATAGTAACTTATTATTGCTAAAATAATACTATGTTATTTCATAACAAACACCCATTTCGTATTTTATTTTGTTTAAATTGGTCTTTTTTAAGTGGACTAGCATAAAAAAGTCTCATTTACATCAGTTTCACTTACAGACTATGCAAGTGGAACATCTTTACATTTTGCTGCAAGTTCCTTGAAAAATAAATACTTTTAAAAAGGACAAAAGTAATTTTTTTTCCCTTTGAGTCTGCTTTTTCCTTGACATCAAAATAAAACAATTGTTAAAGTACATTAATTACTGCTTGGCTTACTAAATATACAACTACCATCTGGCAAATGAATGAAGATGATACTTATATCTAATGAATAAACTACATATTTTTTTCAAAACCGCTAAGCTACTAAGTTGCTGATATTTTTTAATCTGCCAAATATAATATTATAAGTAAAGAAAGAACAAAGGAGAATTTTTTTTCTTAATTGTCTGTGCTTTCTTTGGAACAAGATGTTTTCCATTGGTCAAGTATTTTCTTCTAATACTTTCTAAGAGGTCCATAAAATGCAACATCATGAGGGCTGCAATAAATGGGTAAAGTTACCAGTTATAGAAGAAAATAATGTTTTCTTTGTAACAAGATACTATTTTTCTTTAGTGAATTACCTTTCACTGAAAATGTTGCTTCGATTATAACTAATAGGAATGTTCCAATAATTTAACAAAAAAACAATAACAAATCAGTCAAAAAAGTGAATCAAACCGTCCTGACTTTGATTGTTTGTTTGATTGTATATTATTAGGTGGTCTACATCGGTTCTTGTTGTGCATAAATGGTCAGCTTTATAAACATAACCAGAGAAAACTTGATCACTAAACATGATTGACGTTTGACGTTACAACTAAGCACGATTTACATTAACATATCATGTTGCATATTGGTAAAAATATTGGACTTTCCATGGTTTTTGGATTAAATTTTAAACTTTATTATACAAAGTGGCAACTTGCACCTAATGAACATCTATTAATGTTTTTATCTAATAATGTTTATTGTTATCATAATATTGGCATTCAGTATAATTTATATACTGCATTGTATCATTTTTTTTTTCATATAAAAGTGGGATGTACTACTATGAAATGCTAAACAAATATACATATATATATATATATATATATATATATATATATATATATATATATATATATATATATATATATATATATATATATATATATATATAAACACACGCACACATACACATTAATATATATACAAATGAAATGTATACACACACACATACATTTATACACAAAGACACACACAAACTATGTGTGACTTACTGTTTATACACATGATATATAACTTTTAATCACAATAATATTATGTAAAATACTTAATATATTATATATAATACATGTATGACAAAAGAAATTTTAAAATTGTTTTATGTTTTTGACTATTTATGAAGTGGAGTTACTTTGAACGTTATTCAAAGTTACCCCGTTTGCGAAAAAATGTTTACAACAAAGTAAAGTGGCTAGCTCAGATGGTTAGAGCGTTAAAGGAAAAGTTAAAACCTGGACTGTTGAACGACACCAGTTCAAATCCCGCCACCGCTAACTCAGCGCTTGAGTAGTACTTCGGTACGCAAAAATGTTGGTCAATAACGGACGCTACTTTGGATTAGTCTTAATGACTATTTGTGGCTGTTCCTATGCTAAGCCAACAATATCTTCGGATATAAGAATATTGTATAGAAAAATATAGCATGAAAACTCAAATAAAATAAAAAATAAATAAATAAAAGTATGTTATGTTATAGCAATGGAACATAACTATAGTAGGCAAACAAAATTCTTTAGATTTTATATGCTTATAAATTTACAAACATAAATTATGCAACTTAGGCAACAAGCTGCTACACTAGCTGAGGCACTGTACAAAGTATTCTCACTAATTTTTTTGAGAAAGTTATCTGATTTGTTTAATTCATTTTTTGGGGAACAATAACAACCAATAAACAAAGTAAAATTTTAAATAATCAAAATATAAACTATTTTTAACACTAATGTTTAAGATTCAAACAATTTTATATAAATTCTTGCCATAATTACAACTTGAAAAAAAAAAAAAGTTTGTATTAAAAGTTACCCCGCTATTCAAAATAACCCCGGTTTACGGTAGCATTTTTGTGAAATTATTTTTATCGTTTAAAGTCTTTCGGGTGTTCAATTATTTTCCCCGTCTCCTCCAATCTTTTGAGACAGTGCTTTTGGACATTTATTTTCATACAATAGTTTTAAACATAAAATTGTTTCAGATCAACCTCAATTATTATAATTTATAAATTATTTATAGTTATTTTAAGGTAATGATTAATGAGATTCAAGTAGGTTACCAATTGGTATTTAAATATACTTAGTTATAACATATACATCTTTAAATTGATTGTTTATAATTTAATTAAAATTACACGTAGAGTTAATCAATATGATAATGCCTAACCTAATGTCAAAAAAAGGAAGAAAATTTATGTTTAAAAGATGTCATAAACTAAATAGACTTAGTATAACCTTTTAAAAAACACCAAATGTGTACCAGTTACGGAAAACTTGAAAAAACTTGTTGTAAAGCATTGTTAAGTTAATGAAATATCCTGCTGAACTACGTCTTACGTTTAAAAAACATCTGTACCTGGTTAAAGCTGGAAAACTTCAAGCTTTTAAATGCTACTATTTTAAAGAAGTGTCAAAAATGTTTTCGAGGTAATGGTATAGGTGGTAAATAGTATATGGTAAAACATCATAAATGCTTTCGCGGTAAAGAATCTAAGAATCTGGAAACTTATCTTTTTAATAACGATATTAAAGAAGAATGTTAATAACAAATTTTATTAAACTTGAGTGTCTCTTATTAATATCTTATTTGTTTTATAAATATTAGTACAAAATTTTAATTATCCTTTTGTTTAGGTTTAGGCTCAAGTTTGGACAAATATTTTGAAAGATATGTATTCATTCAATGGTTATGGGAAAGGTGAAAAATGCTGCTTTTCACTGGTATAATGATATAATTTTTTTTTTATAATATTTAAAGAATGTTTTGCTTTTCTAAACATTTTTGCAAACTATATACGAGGTTTCAAAGCTCCTATAACTCTAGGTCAAACCAGTATAAAACAGAGAGAAAATCATTTACAAAGTTTAACAAATTAATTGATTATTTGACTCAATATTCTCTTAAATACCCTAAAACAAAATGGAGTTAAGTTTGAATGCAATATGGAAAAAAATTTGGATGATAAAAAAAAGATTTCTATGTTTTCGAAAATGGTAACAATAAGTTTTAAGAATAATAAATAAAAACATCTATAGTGGAGGTTCAATGTACAATTTGTTTAACCCAAATCAACGCAGAGTTACTGATAGTAGTAATAATGAAACAGTTTCATTGGAACTTCGAGAGCACGTTTTAGAACATTACAAATAGACTGGTGCACCTCATTTCCTCATCACTTTGGCATGCTAACTAAAGTAACACAAACATATATATATATATATATATAAATCTTTTATTTAAAGCAAGAACAAAATAACTTTGCTAATTAAAACTTTAAATAATATATGCAACATATACAACATAAAAATTTTGACATTATATACAAGACCAATATTTGATTTCTAAAATTATTCGGCAGTAAATTAAGTATTTCTTTTAATTAATTTCAAATCTCTGGCTCATCTACTGACATGGAGCTAATAGGTTGCTTTACCGTTTTAACTGACAAAACAATATTTTTTTCTCTTTATTATAAATCAGAATATATTTTATTTAGTTATAGTTTATACTATGAACTTGTTATTTTAATTCAGTAGTCCTTTCAAAACCAACATACCTACATGACTTTAATTATACTTGTTTTCTTGAATGTTTTTTTATTTTTTTCATCCATGTTAGTATATGTTATCAACTTGTTTGCCATGAGTCTAAAATCAATAAAATAAACAAAGTAAAAAATTAACTTTGACACAAATCTTACTTTGTAGAACCATTGAATAATTACCAAGTTCTTTTATATAAATTAACTAAGAAAATGTCAGTTCAACAGAATTTCAATATGTCAGTTTTTAAATATTGTTTACAGCTTTTTTGACAAACTTACTTTAAAAAAAGTGGCTTTGACATTTGCATGACACAAAGTTTCACTAACATTGTCAACTTTTCTAAAATCAAAAAAAATTTATATCAATATAAATCTTTCTCTCTCTATGTATATATGCAGGAGTCGAAATAAGTGTCAGACACCGGACTTTTTTAGAGACCTAGTTTAAGGGGGCAGCTAACCATTGTTCATTTTTACTGAACAATGATTGGGTTATTGGATACACACACACACACACACACACACACACACACACACACATATATATATATATATATATATTATATATATATATATATTATATATATATATATGTGTGTGTGTGTGTGT